TAGTATAGAACTTAAAAGGTATGAGTAGTCCGCCTGTTCTCTTAGCAAGCAGAGGAACTCAAACCACTATTCCTACTAGGTTTACAACCTTTGAGTTAATAACCAAGCAAAACTTGGCGAATCAAGGGTACCAGTCGGCCTCCGCCGCCTGGTTTCCCTACTACTCAAACCAAAGTGGCGGTGATTGACTAACTTCAAGGGGAACCAGTCGCCCTCCCTAGTACAAAACCTAAAAGGTATGAGAGGTCTGCCTATTTTTTGGCAAGTGGGGACCCTCGACCACTATTCCTACAAGATCTGACAGAAGTTACCGCCTGAAACCAATACAGGCGTAGCTATTCCCACCAGGCGTCCCGTTTACTGACGGCCTATTTCCACCAAACTTAGCGTCCAACCACCTAGGTAGCGCCCTGATAAAAACGACGCCAGACCTACTAAAATAGGGCGACTGTTCCTCAACTAGACGACCACCATTGGGCAACCTGAACTACGCCTACCACGACCATTGCTCAAAACCCTCAAGACAGGCGCCTGTGCCCAAGCGTGACCAACAGGTGGCCTGGGTAATGTTCCTAAAATAATCCAAGTCTGGAAAGTCTGCTATCCTAAGCTTTTAAGGGAAGCCGACTGAACTCATGATTGACTGACTATTTGAAAACCAATCAGTCGGCCAGGGGAAACAATATCACTCGGTTGCGATACCCACTAAGATGTCTTCTATACTTAGCAACATTCAAACACTCAAATGGCAAATTTTGATGCAAAAAGGAAAACAAGTAAGAACAGTCGGCATGATAAACAAGCAAAAAGGGAAATGAAAATATTGTTGGAAAAGACGACAAAAACAGTCGCCACATTCATTCATAAACAGCCGGCCATGTAAGCCGACAAAATATTCATCAACCTCGACCCCTTGGTCGGGTAAAAGATACACAAGAACAATCGGCACGCAGGCCGGAGAAGAGTTAAAAAAAATAAACAGCTTAAGCATTGGAGAGGGGGGTTCATTAATGACGGTTGCCTGATCGGCTTCATGGCGCCTGCTCCTCTAGCACATTCCCTTGTTGAGGCTCGTTAGCAGGCGGGTGCCCTTGATCGGCGTCCGTCTTCTGTTTCTCAGTCTCCCCCTCGTTGACGTCCGCCTCCTCCTCTTCATTCTCATCCTCACCATCAGAAGAGGAGCCGGCCGCCTCATCCTTCACTTCACCCTCATCCGCCGCCTGTTGCATTACTTACCTATTATACTCTTCAGTGCAGGCAGCGAACTTGGACTCCCATCGCTCATAGGCCAAGTCTGGGAAGAGGGCAGTCCAGGTCATCTGCATGATGGCCGAGGAGTCTTCCATCATATCTTGGGCCAAGGCCATCTTCTCAGTCTCAGTCTCAGCACTGAGTTGCTTGGACAAGGTCTCCTCCTGGCAGGCCAGGCGCTCCTTGACCTTTTTGTTTGCCTTTTTGAGCTCCTCGATCGCATGTTTTGCATGTTTAAGCGGCTACAGCTGGTCCTGAAGATCCTTGACCGCCTTCTCCAGCTCCAAGTTTTTCTTCTTGGCCGTCTCCAATTCGGTTTTGACCTGCAAGGTGGCAGTCGCCTGATAATACAAGATGTCAGTTGTCAAAATATCATTTTGGGCAATCTGAAACATTGCCCGGTCACAATCAGAGGCGGCCATAGCCTTCGCAGCCTTTACCTCCTTGTTCTTCTCGTTGATGGGGCGGCGGAGACCATGAACACGAAGCAAGGCCTGCGAATCAACAGAACAGGCGTCAAAATTTTCCAATAAAACAGGCGGCAATTTGCCCAATTTCGAAGAAAATTTATCATGTCTACCTCAGAGAGTAGACCCATGATAGAGTCCAAGTCAAGGGTTCCAACTCCCCTTACTGATTCCCTGTCATCAGAGGGAATCGCCTTGACCATGGACTTGGCCATCTGGACCAAGTCCGGATCTTGATGGCCGCCTGCAATAGAAAAACATGTAAAAGTTAGAAGGGAAAGCAACAGGTCGGCTGATCTAAGAAAGATTGACAAAGAAATTTAAAATCAATTATACCTCTTGGAGGCTGAGTGTTCCTAGGGACGGTTGTTTGTTTTGACCCACCTTGAGGGGTCCGCGCCTGGTTTTTAGTCGGCTGCTTCCTGGCAGAACCAGGCGTACTCCCAGTCGTATGTTTCCAAGCCTTGGGGTCCGGCTGCTGGGAGGGAGAGGATTTGGGTACCCCATCCTGCGACAAGAAGTCAAAGTTATTAATATGGTAAAAAGTGGGAAAGCACGAAGAATTTTACCAAGGGTAGGACGCTCACCTTGGACTTGTCCTTTGAGGGAGAGTCGGTAGGGGGCCGCTTCTGGCCAAGAATAACCGCGCAAAGAAGGGCGGCCGCCTTCTTGGAAGCAGAGATCTTGTCCAAAGCTTTGTCTTCAAAGGCATCTCATAGTTAGAAGAAATTCAAGAAAACCAAAAATATAAGAATATAAAAGGGGCCGACTACCTTTAGGGGTCCGTTCACTAAGGCCACAGGTGGCCAAGAAATACTCGTCATACAACCAATTGAATTTAGGTATGCAGTTTAAGGGGATTAACTCTCGCACCCCTATAGTAGAGTTAGCCCTGATCTCTACTTTGAAGAGACCTTGATCAAGGATCTCCTCCTTGGCTTTACGAGGAACAGGCGGCAGGCTAGAGCCGCCTGCGAGGAGAGGCGAATCCCTGTTCCACCTATTTTACCTCTTGTTAAGAAGTTTTTCAGGGCTAGAAACAATGAAGAAGGTGTTCCTCCAGTCCTTCCACTTGTTCTCTTTCCCCCTTGTCATCAAGTAGCCCTTATGGCTTGAAATCTGGTACCACCCGGTACCGCTTGCTTTTGGGGTCCGACTCAGATAATTCATTTGGGCAAACGCAGCAAAATTCGGTTCAACCCCATACATTTCACAGCCGGCTACGAACCCCAGAATATTGAACCCCACCTGGTACCTATCCAGGATTTGGGGCCAACTGCTAGAGCCCCACCTGGTACCCATCCAGGATTTGTTGAACAGCCGGATGCAAGGGGAATCTTAACCCAGCCTTAATGGCCGCCTCATAGCAGCCAAAACAGGCGTCCCAATAGCTTGCCCCCTCCGGCCAGACTAGTGTATCCTCAACATCCGGCGCTGATAGAAAGTAATCAGGACCCATTACATGGTCCGCCTGAAAGGTCCCTAACCTCTCAGCCATGGCCTTAATTCGGCCTTTTGGGACATGACAATAGTAGGCAGTGTTCGATTCCCTATGAGAAGCAGACGACTCATCCCAGCCGACTCTCTTTTCAACCTCATGAGACACTCTCGCCTCATGAAGACGAGAATGCCTCTCTTCTGAGTCTAGAGACTGCCAGCTGGATGAGTTAGAGTCAGATTCGCTTGAACTCTCAGAGGAGGTCGACTCTTCTTTCTCGGCAGGGGCCGGCTCCTGTCTAGAAAAGTCCACAACCATAGGACTGGTCGCCTGAACCTCAGATTCTTCTAAGATTGAGTCACTTGGAGTGCTTGGGTCACCAGGCGACCTGTCCGAGAGCTCGCTCAACTGGACATAATATGAGGAGCCGTCTGAATTTGTATATCTGGTCGTCCTCTTTGTTCTGGCCATAGTGTCCTGCATCGACACAGAGACAGTCGGACATGGAGCAAAGGGCAAAGATGGATCCAAAAAGGGGCAGGCGACACTCCTAGTCCTAGATTCAGCCGTCCCCGGTGACCGACTAATCACTAACTTAGGTCGTGCTGGGTGCTTTTGGGATACCATATTTTCAAAAGAAAAATGCAAAGAAATGAAAAGTGCAGGAGCAAAACAGACAGTTACCTGAAGTTTGTTCTGAGAAAGGAGATGGAAGTTTTAAGCAACCGGTCACCACAAATCAATCGGCTAGCATAAACAGTCGGTCGAATATCAGTCGTCTAGAAATCTCAGAGCACAAGTTCAGGGTTCCGAGTTCTCTTGCAAAGTTCACAAAATGTGAACGAAAGACTTGGTCAACATGCCCTTATATAGGGTTATTCGAGAATCTGAAGGGTCACGCCCTAATTCAAAAATAGGCGGGAAAAAACAGGCGGCCTCCCACAGGCCGATATCTGTCACAGACCGTCGCTTAGTTACGAGTCGACACTTGTCACAGGCATCACGTGACAAGTCCCGTGACCCCTATGAGGGGTAAATATTTAGGGGATTTTTCCCCTCCACGTGGACCAGTCAGCACCTGCCACGTGTCATCCACGTGGACCATTCAGGGGCTGCCACGTGTCATGCTCCAGGAGGTCTAGCATGGACCAATCGTGCCACACCACGTGGCCCATTATCTGCTAACTCAGGAAAACAGCCACCTGGGCCCGAATGTCGAGGCAAGCCCAATTAGTCCTAGGTTTACCATTTAACCTAGTATGGGGCACGTATTTCGAGGGTATAAATACAGTAATTAGCCTTCATTAAATGATAGACTGAGCTAATTAATCATCTCAACTAGAGAAGCCTAAACACACGTGCATACTAATCGCTAGATCAGACTTAGCATTATTTGCACTCCCCGATCACTCCTCCCCTTTGAGGAACCAGATCACCCTCTTTACTTTCCGCACCTTTTACTCCACATACAAGTACTAACTTGATCGTCGGAGGCGGAGCTCCCACCACTCGGAGTCTCCGTTGTTTTGCAGGTACAGGCGAAAGGATACCAGTCCCGGAATTGTAACTCTCCCGCAGGACATCAAAAAACCCCGAAACAATTGGAAAACAAGCTTTTGGAACCGGTTCCAGCCAAACCGGTGGCAAATTATCTTTTTGGCACCGGTTCAAACCGGTGCCAAATAAAAAAGATATTTTTTTTAAAAAAAAAAAAGGGGAGAAAGGGATTTGGCATCGGTTCGGTTCGAACCGGTGAGAAACCTATTGTAAAATTAAAAAAAACCCGGGTATACTATTTTTTTTCTCTTGCTTTCATTTCCTCGATCTTTCCTCCTCTCTCATCTGATCTGCCTCTCTCTCTCCTCCATTGAAGCGAACTCGAATTTCTCCATTGAAGGGGCTTCTGAGCTTTCTCTCAACACTTTCCTCAAACTCCTTCTCTCTTCTTCGATCTCTATAACCGCCACTTTCCCTTTCCTTTCATATCTCTTTCGATCTCCTTCTCCTTCTCTCTTTGAGGTTAGGGTTTCTTGGTGCGTCTATTTTGAATCAATTCGATGTGCGTGCGTCTTCAACAACAACAAATTTGAATCAATTTCGAACCAAAAATTAGAAATTCGTTTCTTGGTTATTTAGCTTTGCGTTATATTGTAGCAGTTCTGAGCTTTCTCCTCCATTGAAACAACTTCTAAGGTAATGTTTTTTAACCAATGAAGTTTTTTAATCAATGAATATCAATTTTGCTAATTATTTGTGTTAGTATAGTTAATCTAGGGTTTTACCATTGCTAAAATTGTGCTATTGGCTTGTTTATTTAGGGTTTGATACGAATTGCTGGATTCTCTCTTCTGCTCGATTATCTGTTGAGTAATCACCCAAATCGAAAGTTTCAGGTATCAATTTATTATTATATGTTGAGTTTCAGGTGTCAAATTCTTAGTTGTATTCTTTGATTGAACTAGTATTAGTATCATGAATTGATTGATTGATTTAAGGTTTGGAGGAATGTAGTTTTTTGGACGGACGGCTATGATGTTGATGAACTGATAAAGTTATAATTTTTCAAAATAGTTATGTATTTTGGATTGGCTTAAAAGAGATAATACATTGAAGATTGGCTTAAATGTATATTTTTATGAATATTTGAGTATAGAATTTCACTATTACAGGCTACAGCCTTTCATTTCTCTACTAACGGTTGTTATTGTGTTTAAAGTCGATATAGAAAACAACATTTCGCTTTGTTCTTGTTCTAGATACTATTGGCCTCAATTCTCATTTTTTGTTTGATTGGATGTTTGATTGTTTTAGTTTTAATTTGGATGTTTGATTGTTTATTTTGGTGAGGATCAGCTGGGTTTGAATTTAGGGTTTTATTAGTGAATTTAGTAATTAGACCCAATATCATTTTTTGATGAATTTGTGGAACTGGAAATTAGGGTTGGATTTGGCTGATTTTTGCTAGAGACTAGTAACTGATTTTGGCTTGTTCAGCCACCTGCAGTCCTGCTTTTCAAAGTTTAGCTTTTGAGATTTGAGAATAATGATGAAAAAGTAACAAGGATGATGTAAAAGTAAAGTCTACACATATGCTTATCTTGGTGGACTTATGGTTACTGTTTATCTTGCAGTTTTCTAAGGATGGTGTGAAGTATATTGAAGAGATGAGAGTATACCTTGTTATCCCAACTCCACCATCTCCAGAGTTGTTACCCCTCAATGGAATAGTGAAACAGGTAACAATTTCTGACATTTGAAGTTTCTGGTTACATTGACTTATTTTTGATATGTTATGCCCCCTGAATAATGATAGCAAGTTTCATTTTATTGATCTTTTAAATATCAAGATGTTTAACAAGAATTTTGTGGTGTTTATTCCCCCCCCCCCCCCCCCCCTTTTTTATGCTGCTGGTTGATGATCATGTTGAGTCTAAAACAGTAAACCAGGAGGATTTGAAGCCAGTTACAATCCATAAGGATTTTCCTCAATCTCAAGATGTAAAATCAGAACCAATTAAGCAGATGACTCTAGTTTGAAGAAAGATGTTGAGACTCCTGGGCGAGAGTTTATGCTTCGTGTTTCTTTTATTAAGTTTTCTGGTTCAAGTATTTATTTCAGGGTTTACTTATAAGTAGAATTGTATTTAACTGAATCCTGTGATTTCAGATTATCACTGATTTGCTTAATCCAACTGGTCAGAATCTACGTGTAAGAGAAGATGCCCAGGTTTGTGTTGGTTTCAGTTATTGGCTAGAATATAATCTTTCCATATTATGTCTGTTTTTGGCTCTTAGTGTTATGTCTTTGCTGATGCTCCATTATTTTACTACATTTATTGGAATCATTAGCTGGTTCGTCGTCCATTTGAGACAATCTCAGTAATCTAAAGTGGCTTATAAAAATCTCTCTAAGTAAGACCAAGATTCTCACAGCTGGTACATTTCTGATCTATAATTTGGTGTATGAAAACCATATGAGGTATCTTTAGTAACCTTCTTGAAGATATGAAGTGAGGCTGCTTCAAGTATGTAATGTAAATTTAAATGTTTGTTATAGGTAATTGAACAGAAGGGCCTTGATATGGTGCATTGTGATTGGAGCTTGTTATCAAAGGAAGTTGGGGACTACTGCTTGAGTCCGATACTTTCTAGAGGTATAGTTGTGCTTTTATCTTGCGTCAAGAATTCCTTTTATTTTTTCCTCTTCCGATTTTTGATATTATATTGTTCTAATAGCAAAAAACAGAGTGATTGCACCTTTATAGAGTTTTAAGGTATCAGCCTAAATTATGCTTTTCCTTCCTTGCAGATCCCGTGAGGATGTTGTGGAGTCGGTACATAGTTATCTTATGAAGGTAATAGAAAGACCTAAATTTTTGTTGGCCAGTGTTTAAATAACGAAAATAGCAATTGATCTTCCAGATTCACTACTGCATTGACATAATTTGAATGTGTCACTCTTGAAACTTAATCTTTTACTCTCAATGGGAATATGTCTTGTAAATTTGTCATCATTTTTTGTATGTTAGATATAGTCGCAATAATTTATACAAACATCTTTCAGGAATCATGACATATTATGGTCTCGAGAGTTGCATTTTGAACAGTCGACTGTACACAAGTGAGAATTCAATCTGTGGGGAGAATGATTGTCCAGCAGACTCTTTTAATGGAGGAGAAACCAGCTGCTCATCAAGCAAAGATGCTTTTGGATCTTTCTTTTCTAATAGGATTATGAAGAGGAACCATGAAGAAACAGATGAGTGGAGTGTCCTCGAAAGCTCAGAACATATTTTGGTAAGTAAATTTTTAAGCTTATTTTGCTTGTCTGTTTTTGGTTCTGTGATCTTAATTTATCTTCTGCATTTTCTGTCAGGTTCCTTTGCACCAGATGCATAGATGGATGCAGTCAAGTCTTATTTGGGAATTGCTACTGCCTCTTATCTTTGATTGTCTAGATTTTTTTCCTTTTTTTTCAGTTTTTTAAAGTGTAATATTACAAGTTATTGAAGAAAATATATGTGTTTTATGTATATTATGATTATATATAAGTATTTGGTACAATTTAAGATGAAAAAAATGCAATTTTTTTTTAAAATTTTTTTTGGGCATTTTTGGCACCGGTTTTGGAAAAGAACCAGTGCTAAAAGTTTTTTTAAAAAATTTTTGTGGGGACTTTTGCCACCGGTTCTAAGTCAAAACCGGTGCCTATTGTATTGAAATAAAAGAAAGAAAAAAAAAAAGCGCACCATGGGTAATTGGCACCGGTTAACCGGTGCCAAAGAGGGTATTTAACACCGGTTAATCGGTGCCAAATGTTTAAATAGCCACCGGTTTTGAACCGGTGCCAAATCTTCAGAGATTTGGCATCCCTCAAATACTCAACGGTTCAAAACCGGTGCCCATAGGGTGGTTTGAACCGGTGCCTATTTATGTTTTTCGCCTAGTGATTGCCCCTGCAGTATGAAGGAATGGTCTACCCAAAATAATCGGAATTTGCAAATCTTCCTCCATATCAAGGATAACAAAAACAACAGGTATATAAAATTTACCTACTCTAACAGGAACATCTTCTAAAACACCTAAAGGATATTTAAGAGAACGATCAGCCATTTGTAGAGTAATATTGGTAGCTTTTAAATTACCCATATTTAATTTAGAGCTCACAGATAGTAGCATGACACTTACACTAGCACCCAAATCACATAAAGCTTTATCAATCATCAGATTGTCAATGTGACAAGGAATAGAAAAACTACCCGGATCTTTTAGTTTAGGTGGAGATTTATTCTGTAATATAGCGCTACATTCTTTAGTAAAAGCAATTGTCTCTACCTCACTAATAGATCTCTTTCTGGTAAAGATTTCTTTCATAAATTTAGAATATGCAGGAACTTGAGTAATTAATTATGTGAAAGGAACCGTTACCTGCAAATTCTTGACAACCTCCAGAAACTTACCAAACTGCTTATCTAGCTTACTCTTAAGATGTCTATTAGGAAATGGTAGTTTGATAACTGGTTTCTGTACATCTCCACTCTTGTCTTGATTTTTATCCTTCTTTGGAGTTATACCCTGCAATGTATAATCAGTATTGTTAGTTTTACCCTGGCGCCCTGCAGGGCTAGTAACAACAATATTTGGTATAAAAGAATTAGATTTAGCAATATTTGTAATGATATGTTCATCATCTTTGGGCATAGAAGGCCCATCGTATTTTAAACCACTTCTCAGGGTAATTGCATTCACGTGATCTGTAGGTTGTACTAGCTGCGATGATAGGGCTCCCTGCTGGCGAGTTTGTAGAGCAGAGGAAAGTTACGCAATTTGATTGTCCATGATTTTATTATGAGCTAGAATCGAATTAATTTGTGCATCCCTACTCTGCATCTGTTTCTGCATATCAACTAACATTATTCTGATTTCTGATAAGCCAGAATCAGAAGGAGGAGTAACAGTCTGTTGTGGTCTCTGATGTAGAGGTTGATAGTACCTCTACTGTGGTTGTTGTACCTGTGGTGGGGGGTTAGGCACATTCATACTGTTGTACGACATATTCTTGTAATTTTTCAATCCTGCATTGTAGGTATAAGAGTATGGACTAGTTTTCTTATAGGCCTAAAAAGCATTAATCTTCTCAAGCGAACTGGTGCATTCCTGAGCCCAATGACCTACAAGAACATAATTTTCACAAATTATTGCAGAGTTAGTACCAATAGCAGAAACATTAGCAATGGAAGATGAATTAGAATTATTAATATTGTCTAGTTTCTGGCTAATAGCAGTCAATTGTGGTTGCAAAAAGGATATAGAATCGACTTGGTGTTTTCCTTTATTTGCAAATCCTCTAGGATTCCCATATTGGGAATTATGAATAGCCATCTCTTCAACAACATTGCTCGCTATATTAACATCCAAATTCATAAATCTTCCGTTATCTGCAGAGTCCAAAATCATTCTTGAATTATATCCAATCCCATTGTAGAAGGCTTTGATTATCACCATTGTGCTAGCCCATGATGAGGGCATTCTCTCTGCAAATCCTTAAATCGTTCCCAAGCTTCATATAAAGATTCATCCGCGTCTTGGGAAAAATTTAGGATCTTACACCTTAACAAAGTTGTTCTCTCTGCAGGGTAGTATTTGTTATAGAAATTTAAAACAAGAGTTTCCCAGTCAGTAATACCAAGTGCAGTTCTATTCAGTCCATTGTACCATAATTTAGCTTTACCACATAAAGAAAAGGGAAAAAGAATCTCCCTGATTTGGTCCTGCATGACCCCAGCTTGTCTAATGGTGTTGCAATATTGGAAAAAAATCTAAGATGTGCAAATTTGGATCATCACCCTTAGCTCCGCTGAATTGCTTCCTTTCAATCATAGTAATGAACTAAAGTTTAATCTGGAATTGTACTCCCTCGAGATTTGGTGCGGGAGCAAGGTGTGGAAAATCTGCCAAGGACGACTGCGAATAATCATTGAGCTTGCGAGGTGGTTGAGTCGTCATCTCTGATTCTGGTTCTAAAGATACTTCTGTATCGCTAGAATTAGATAGGGGTTCCAAAGGTGTAATACCCTCCGAAGTAGCTTGTACCTGTCTAAAAAGATTCTTCTATCTATGAAAAGAACGTTCGATTTCAGGATCAAATGGAATGTAACCTGATCTAGAACTCCTAGGCATAAACACAGAACTAAATGAACAAGTGTGAGAATTGTCCCAAAGAACTTGCGTTCTCTGAGACTAAAGAAAAATAATCTAGACTACAATAATAATCAGAAATAAAAATAAAACTGTTTCCCCGGCAACGACGCCAAATTTTGACACGCTAAAGTCGTATCACCTAATCAAAAGTAATTCCTAAAACCACTAACTAATATAGATAGGGAAGTAGGGTCGAATCCCCAGAGAAACAGGTCTTTCTATTCCTAATTGATTAACATAATCTAAATTATCAAGTAACCAAATTGTTTTTGTGAGAATTAAACTAATAACTAAACTAAAGCAAATTAAATAAGGGAGGAAAACAATAAAAAAAGTCTTAGGATATAGGTTCACCAATAAATAATATTTCAGGGTAAAACATAATAATCAATCATCAATGCATAGATTAATCAGATCATAAAGGGCTTTCGCTACGTATTACGATCACAGAATTAATTACCGGTATTAAATCGCATCTCTCGAATCTTGACTTAACCATTTATAAATTAACCTGCCTATTGAAACTAAGCCTAAACATCAATTCTCATCTCTCGAATCTCAAATCAATATTGCATAACTCATACAATTAAACCTGCGCAAATCTAATTGTATAGCATTAAATCAATCAATAGAAAATCAACCAAAACATTGACAATCAACAATAATAAATTACCCCATCATATTAATTATGGATCCCCAAAACCCTAGAAATAAAACTACTCGCACATATTTAAATCTAAACTAAGCAAGACAGTTTAAGAAAACATAATTAAATCAAAGCAATTAAATTACTAAAAGTAAAGAGGGAAGAAATCGTTACCAAAGTAGACGGAAGTAAAGAATTGCATAAACTAAAAGTGTTGAGAGGGATCAAGAGTATTAACTAAAAGCTTAAAACTAAAAACTAAGAAATTAAACTAATGAGAAAAGTATAGAGAGAGAGAGAGAGAGAGAGAGAGAGAGAGAAAGAAAAATCCCAAACTCGCTTAACAAAAGCGTATTTATATGAAACTCAGAAAACCTAAGCTAAAACGAAGATTAAAAGTGCTAAACGAACTCAGAAACACGCGCCCGGTCGGGCGCCTTATCGCCCTGCCGGGCGCGCCTTCGGGCGAGCAGCTACTCTCTTCCTTCTTCCTCGCCTTGCCGGGCACGCCTTCGGGCGAGGGCTTGCCCTGCCGGGCGAGCTCCCGGGCAAACTTGGACTTCTTCAATTGGGCCATTTCTTAGCCCAATTCACATTTCCTCTTTGGGTTCTGAATACATGGTCCATTGCCCCGGACTCTTCTTCTTCGCCAAGCCCTTAATCACCGATTTGATGACTCCAACCGGTCTTGGGCTTCGGAATGTGGTCATATGAATGCGACCTTACTCCAATGCTCGTAGTGGCTCCAATAAATCTGGGAAAATGCTCCAAATTCGCAACTTCCTATAAAACAATACCAAATCTACGAAAACACTAGAAAACGCATATTAGTAACAAAAGTAGCTCCGTAGAGCTCAAATAAACACAATTATGACCATTAGGACGGGGAATATATATATAATAGACTTATCAAACAGGGCCTGAATCGGTGATTTGTACATTTGGGTGTACTTGATCAAATTTTTTTTTTAAATAAATACATTTCTTATGGGAAAAACTAGTATAGTACCCGTGTAATTGCACAGTATAAGTTCATACGTATAATTTACTTATTAAAACAATTTAATAATAATCATGAAGTAGAATCAAAAGTTACGCTCTAACATACGTATATAGCTTCTAGAAATATCATACCATGATTTAACACTGGTATTTACATAATTATTTATAGACTTAAAATTAGGGATGATAGATGGGTATAAAAATGCGAGTCCCGCACCACACCCGTCCCAATTGGAGCGGATATGGGTGTAACTTTGGCGGGTAAGTAGGCGGGTATTGGTACATAAGTCATACCCACCGTGGGTAACGGGTAAGCAGTGGATTTGATGTTATACCCGCCTATTATCCGCCTACCCGCTAGTTACTCGCCTACTCACCCAATTATCTGCTAACTAATTACTATCACTAATTTTTTATGTAATTTTTTTTGTATTTGTAATGATGAAGGACTACTTTTATACAAAATTGACTATTTATTACATTTATATATAATGTATTATTAAATAATGTATTTACAACAATTTAGAGAAAGCATAATGACATGTTCTATAAGAAAATATCAAACAAATGTTGTTAGGTTAGCGGATAAAAGGTGGCCGGGTAGTAGATATCCACATGGGTGGTGGATCGGGTGTGGGTCTTCCACTTAGGTGAGTCTGAATGTTAAAATTTATCCATCACGGG